TCTTTATCTGTGATTTATTACAAATAAATACAGGGACAATTTGCACTCATCATAAAAATATATGTGAATGTGCTTTTACATTATTAACAACTTTTGTGTTAAAGTGAGTCTGTGAGGACAGATGGTGTCTGTGATGCCGACACTATGAGTGTCAAACTGCATCTTGAGCCTCAATGTTTCTCCAAACCTTACTATAAAAAAATTATTGTTACACAAATATTTCAAATGCGTCAGTCTTTGATTGAAATCCTGTCACTCTGTCAGCATTGCATGTCATGCAAACGCGAATACCTGCGAACCATGTTCCAAAATGGTATCAACTCACTGTTTGAAGTGCCTATCATAAAGAAAGGTCACATGGTGTCATGAATAATAATGAGACAAGGCCTTCTCATAAGATGAGGCCATGCAGACTCATGAATAATAATGAGACACCATTGTGACACATCCTGTGATGTTGAGACAGAGAAAAATAGCCCAAAAAGTCTATAAATTAATAACTTTCCTCTTTATAAATTAAAAATAAGGGGTGCTAACATTATCTTCCATTGTCTTTCATTCGTGTTCCAGAAAGAAAGAAAGTGTTAAAGAAAGACCTTTCCTCTGACAGTCTCTAATGGGTCAAGTTTAGCTCTTTTCAAGAATATTAAATGGTCTCACAGGACCTTGGCTTTATCTCATTGTTTTTTTTTTGTCAGGTGGAATCAGTTAGACTTGGCAATTGTTCTTCTCTCCATCATGGGCATCACACTTGAGGAAATTGACCTGAATGCCTCTCTACCCATCAACCCAACCATCATACGCATAATGAGGGTGCTGCGCATCGCCAGAGGTACCAAATACACGAAGACAGACACACACACCATCCGTGACAAGTGAGAAATAAAACAGGGTCTTATAAGATGTGCCAGAGAGAAGAGACATTTCCAGCGTTTTTAGAAATGGGAAATTTAAAGGGGTCATCCGATGCTACATGCACTTTTACAAGTTGTTTGAACTGAAATGTGTGTTGGCAGTGTGTGTACACAACCACCCTATAATGATAAAAATCCACCCAGTGTTTTTTTTTGTCTACTAAAATCTTTACCCCTTTCTCAAATCGAGCCGATATCAGATGCCTGTCTGTGTGATGTCACAAAAACAGGCCCCTCCCACGATAGTTTGATTGACAGTGGCGTTTCAGCACAGACTGGACTGGCGTCTTACCTTAGACCCGCCCTGAGTGACTGTCATCAGTCCGCCATTGTTTCACCGCCGGAGCAGATGTAGACAAGAATGACTCCTAAGCGATTGAGGTGTTCTGTTGTTGGATGTAATAATGAACATAGCAGTCGTCATTTACTCCCGACATCTGAGCCGCTGAAGACGCATTGGATTACATTTGTTTTTGAAGGGAATACGCCCACGATCTACCTAAATGCGTCTATGTTCGCCTAATCATTTGTGATCCGGCTTCACCTTCAGAAGAAGCGAGTATAAGGTTTTTAAATGAATCTTTGCAAATCGGCTTTCCTACCAATGTGCTAATTAGCAAGTTTCATGATGAATGCAGCTAAAGTAAACAGTCTCTCAGAGAGCAGCTCGGAAGAGAGGGGCGGGGGCAGCAGAGCTTATTAACATTTAAAGGAAATTGCTATAGAATGGCTTGCTCTGTAAAGAGCTGTTTTTGACAGGGTAAAAAAAGGTGTTTTTTACACTACCATTGAGACATTTTAACCAAATTATGTTACAGTCAACTTGTGGAAAATGGGCATCGGATGACCCCTTTAAAATTGTTTTATATACACTACCATTCAAAAGTTTGGGGTCAGTAAAATTCTTTCCAGTACAAAAGTAATATATTCAGTACAGTTTTGGTTTGTGGCAAGTAATGTCTAAATGATTAAAGGAGGAATGAAATGTGATATTAAATTCCCTTTCAGTGTTGAAGCTCCTGAAGATGGCCACAGGAATGAGATCTCTTCTGGATACAGTAGTTCAAGCTTTACCGCAGGTCAGTCAGTTCATATATCACGTGCTATATCCATTGTTATTGTGGAATTACTTCACAGATTATGATGTATGTTTATGTGGCTTTATTTTGGTGATGTTCTGGTTCTCTAGGTCGGTAATCTGGGTCTGCTGTTTATGCTGCTGTTCTTCATCTATGCAGCACTGGGAGTCGAACTCTTTGGCAAGCTTGGTTGGTATACTTTTCATTTCCTGTTATCTTACACAACACTACTGTTTTTAAAAAAAAATTGTTTTTCAAAAAAAGTCTCTTATTTCACCAAGGCTGAATTATTTAATAAAAAATACAGTAAAAACTGTAATATTGTGAAATAT